ATCATTTATAAGCAACAGAGAAAAGCTGTAGTGATTGATGTGGCCATCCAAAAGGATGGAAACATTAAGAAAAAAAGAACATAAAAGAATGGTAGAAATACCAAGATCCAAGGGAAGAACTAAAGAGAGCCTGAAGGTGAAGGTAACTGAACTGCCCAATGGAGCAGTAGGGAAAGTAACACCCAGACTGGAGAAGTAATGCTCCAACAGATACCAGGAGAAACATCAGGGATCCCAGAAATGGTCACTTCTAGTTACAGCTGAGATACTGTGAAGAATCCCCAAGCTTCCAGGCCTCTGGTAGAATAGAATAGAATAGAATAGAATAGAATAGAATAGAATAGAATAGAATAGAATAGAATAGAATAGAATAGAATAGAATAGAATAGAATAGAATAGAATTGAATAGAATAGAATAGAATAGAATAGAATAGAAAATCCCTTTACTGTCCCACAATAGGGAAATTGTGGTGTTTACAGTAGCAAAGGTTATACTAGAAGTAGTCACACAATGTCGACCTTAGAAAAGTGTATAAAAATAACAGATATGAAAATAAAATAAGCAGAGTATTGTACGCTACAGTGTTTTTACAATATAATAGTCTTTATCTAGAGAATAACAAAATCAATACCAGCTGTGGACATTTTTACACTAATAAGTAAAAAAACGATGAAATGACAGAAGCATGTAATTTAATGGACTAAGACAGAAACTGTGCAAAAATCAACATTGATGTAACAACTTATTGAGGTTGTTGGAAACAGTGATGGTTATAAAGTCTTTAAAGTCTAGAGTACCCAAGCATGAATGGAGAAGATACCCACCCACTCTGCCCAGGAGTAGAAATACTTCTAAGACACAAATGAGTATTTTTACTCATTTCCACACAGCATATTTCTGGTAACAAATACCTGGCTACACACACTCACACTCCAAGCAGTAATACATATCTTTACACTTGAACCTAATTACTTGTGTTTAATACAAGTTTTTATTTTTGCAAAACCCAACATTTAGTTGAAACTGTTTTCCTAAAAATTCCAACCTCTACTTTTACATATGTTCATTATTGTGTTTTACTTTTATTGTTAAAGGCAGTGTTTATGTCAGTGACATTTCAGCGGGATTATAAACTGTTAGGAAACAAACTGCAGTGGAGTACATGCTGGAGGCTGATGTTTAGTCTACTTAAAACAGAGCCTCCTTTCCATGATTGTATCATCTATGTCTATTTGGTCTGCCAGCGCTAATCATAGTGTGCTCGAGACAAATGGTTAAAGGGAGAGACAGTCAGTGGAGAAAAGCTGATTAACAGGCCTGTTTTTCTCATCTTACAGTTATACATATAAACAGCAGTGTAACCATACAAGAGATGGGCGATGATAAGTTAAGGTAGTATGGGCTGAAAAGTAGGCAAACTCATCCACTTACCTGTAGATTATTTACTGGTTACCATGATGATGAATGTGTCCAGGTCATATGACTCCAGAGGTGTAACCTATTCCTTCTCTGCACCATCTGTGACAGCACTGCACTGAATTGATCCAGGCTGGGTTTCTAATTTCTAAGCACATGTCTTCAAAATATTATCTGAAAGCCAAATAAAGTAAAGAAAATAAACTAGTGGTAATTGACTTATTTGCCAAGCACTAGATGGAGACCAGGTAACATTGGAAATAAGTTTTATGAGAAGAATGTATTTAGCGCACCACACTGCTGATACTCAAATGAGAAACATACTTTTTTCACATCGTAAATACTTTTTTGTATCTCTGATTTGTGCTGCAAATGAATTGTCCTTCAGGATATTATGATAAACTGAACTGAACCTGCCATCTCAACTGTGGGCACAGTGCACAGTGTGATACTTGGAAATAATTTATTACAAGAGATTTTAGGGATATATTTTCTTACTTGTACACGTAATGCTTATTTTAAAACTTTTATGGATAAAAAGATGAAATGTTGGGTTTCAATAATGTCTTTACTCAGCAAAATCAAAAGTCAAAAATAACACACCTGGCTTTCCAATTAAAAAAGGCCCATAATTCTTCCTGTTCACTCATCTGTGGCTCATCAGAAACGACACCTTCTCTCTGCATGGTATCACACACACAGAAACCTGAGAACTCTGAATGCAAAGCACTTTGTGGGAACAGGAGGAACATTTGAACATTTTCTTATCTTTATCTCTTACCGCAATGAATTATCACACAAACAGAGCTATATGTACATTTTTAAAAGGCTGGTGTTTGAGAAGAGTGCATAAGAATGCATGCATCCTAACAGGCCATATGACAGCCACCTGTGTAAACGCTTGGAGTATATCATGGCTCTGAAACACTGGAACCTCAGAGTGCTGCTCTTGTTGCCGTGGGAGACCTGAGACGTGACCTCACTTTAGCAGGGGGAGAGCACAGCAGGTGGTCAGCAACAGACACACAATACCACACACTTGCTTCAGAGCATTAATATATTTATACATCCTAAGTCATTTTGCAATATCTGCTTGCCTATATTTCCTTATTTCTCTCATGCAAAAGGAAGTTCAGTCCATCTAACAAGGCAGTATTTGTATCGCCATGAAAAGGCATTTAGGGGGAAAGAGTTTGCATTTCTCCCTTTGCGGGTCAAACAGGAGGTGAGAAAGGCCTCTGTTGAACAGGCTGGATATTGACACAGCATTACCATTCCCAAAAATATTTTCTGTGTTCACTGAGCATAAAAGGAAGGCTGCTAGACATTTGGACATGGCTTGTTCAAACAAACGCTGGTCTACAGCACTCAATCAAACTCACATTTACAAACCAAGGCTTCTGAAAAAAAAAGCTACAGAGAGAGAGAACTTAAAAATGTGGCCGTGAATGTTTTGTCTGAAAAATTTAATGGATTCAGTGAGAAAAGAATAATGAAAAGTTGGTGCCTCTGCAGTGCATTGCTTCTAGAATAGGAATTCATAGTATAAGTACAAGTACAATTGCAAGGAGACATGTAAAAGGACATGGTTTAATAGATGTAAAAGCAAGAAAAATGTTTTTGTGTGTGGTACCACCAGAGGGTTCTTGGTGCGAGCACCAAGGACAATAGATAAGAACGAAGTAACAGAGTGCATAAACAATTGAGCTTAACTGTTTCTTGTCTGAGGAAAATGTTCTGACTGATTGCTGCTAGCAGATGGGTTAAAAGAATTAGAGAAGGAAATATTGTACTAGCTGGTCGATGTGCATTAGAAGCGTTAAATGGCTATTAATCTGGGGTTGGAGCTTAAGCTATCGGAAATGGGAATGTGCCTGCAAAGCTTTTTGTCATGATGCAAGGCTTAAAAGTGTTCCTGCATTAGTGACCTGGGTAAGACTGATGATCTGTGTGTCACAATCACTCTGGTTGTAGCTGACATCGAACAGTTGTCTCACCCTCAGTGACAGATGAGTCTATTATTGCAAAAGGCAATAGAATAACATATTGTGCATATTCTACCAGAACTTCATGCTCACAAAGTCCTTCTGTTCTGGTGGGGAACAGGTGCAGTGTGGGAGTTGCAGTCAGTCATCAGATCTAAGGGTGGTGCAGGGGGCTTAGGAGTGGGGGAGTGCAGCTGCCACAGCTCAACACAATTGTTTACAACTCCCTATACCTCATGTGTCTTCATTTACAAAAGTGATTTCCAATGTGGCAGTTATTTGTTTATGGCATACCGTTTTTTCTGCTAAAAATGGTTTAAATGAAAGTACTTCCCTGTTTTTTCTAGATACAGTCATTAAAAGGCACTCATCATTTTTCCCTCAAGCAAGTCTAATACTGTAAATTCTTTATGAACCAATTTTTATTTCAGAATGAAGCCCCCAAAAAGAGTACAATAAAATGAAAAACATACGGACTCCAAAGAGCTGTTTGGCAAACAGACTAAGCTCTACACAAAATGTTCCTTTTTGGGGCTGTTTTGTAAGGGCAGTGGTGGTTCATGCTTGAATATCAACCTATCTGAGCCTTTTCTTATGGATTGCAATATTTCAGATAATGAAAAGAAAATCCTTGTTTTTGTTGTTTTTTTTTAAACATTTCTGATCCCTAAGTAGCTTACTATAGAATTTTTTAGTCCAGGCTTGATGATCACTGCATCAGTTCTCCTTTTTTGTCAGTGTTGACACATAGACTCTGGATTTCTTTTATTGTTTTAATACTATTTAAAAGAAAATGTATCCACTGTACGAAGATGATTATATGAAAGATTACTTAACACAATCCAGAAACACAATCCTTTAATTTAATGCAGAATGATAATCTCAAATTTCAACCTCTGTTATTGGACATATTGTATTCTAATGCCCCGTCCCCATTACATTTTAAATGTGTGTTTGCCTTATGTGAAAACTGCAAATCAAAGTTTGTAACTATCCTATGCACCAACATTCATAACAAAAGAAGAAAAAGACATGTCAATTAGACAGACTGCCATGACATGCAAATTGGGAAGGGAAAACACAGACAGTGATGAATCAAAGCGGAGCATGTGGGACACACCAGGAGAAACCAGTAATTAGGTCTGAAAGAACTAAGATGTGTGAATGATGGGTAGAAAAATAAACAGAAGGGAAAATAAATGAGTAGGGAGATGAAAACTTTAATCAAAAAAACCTTCCGCTTGAAAATCAGTGGTAATAAGCAACCACATGGAAGCAAGCACAAAGAGGAATAATTGAAAGTGAAAGAAGTGCCAGTTAGCCTTGGCTGAGGTCCATGTTAATGTGGCAGGAGGTAAGGAAAGAGGTAGAAGCAGAGGAGAGGAGAGGAGAGGAGAGGAGAGGAGAGGAGAGGAGAGGAGAGGAGAGGAGAGGAGAGGAGAGGAGAGGAGAGGAGAGGAGAGGAGAGGAGAGGAGAGGAGAGGAGAGGAGAGGAGAGGAGAGGAGAGGAGAGGAGAGGAGAGGAGAGGAGAGGAGAGGAGAGGAGAGGAGCGGAGGGGTGGTCTGTGGACTGAAATGGGAGGCAGTGTTTCTAAGAGGAGGGGAAAGTCTCTCAGAATGGGAGAAGACCTCAAAGCATACAGCCGCCCTGGAGGGAATGAGATCTCAAGACAGTCTCGAGGAAGACAAAGATTCCTATCCCGCCTGACTGATAGAAAACTCACAACATTATCAGTAACTTTACTCCCACAGGTTCTTCTCCGCTCACACCACACTGTGACAGGTAGCATGAGATATGCATATTTGGTAGAAACCATCTTACCTGACTAACCAAGGTTTTGATCCTCCCCCGATTATTTGAATGTCAACAGACTTAAGAGCTGAAGCTTCACTTTGCTGAGAGACTGCACGCCAGGCACGAGGCTCCCTACTCCTCCCCTCTACCACTCTGTCTTTTACTGGGCTCTTGTCCAGAGAATGACTGGCCCCAGTGGACCTGAGAAGAGGATCACACACCGAAGACAGAACAGCAGCTTTTACTCTGCAGGCTGGGATTCTACAAATCAGCATATTTAACACCATTTTGGGATTCGTAGACTGGCTTGTCATTTTTCCACTTTTTTTTTTCTTCACTACATCAGAAACAGTGGAGCAAACGCTGCATTTGCTGACAGCTAATAAAAACAGACGGACTAACATATGGACAGAAAGCAGTGAGCACTGCGGCGTGAATGTAGCAACTGGACTTCTATCTGTGGTTGCTAAGACCAAGCAAGGATAATAGCCAAAGCACTTTCATTTCCACCAAAGGTTGTGGGTGGATGCAGCTTTCAACAGACTGCTATAGGGGAAAGCAGTCACTGCATACAGACTGCCTGTATAGCTTATCGGCATTGTGATAACTCAGAGATAATGCTCTGCTAGCTTGAAATAAATTATTCTTCAATACTGAGGACTATCCTCTGGGTGGAAATACATTAAAATACCTGTGGAGTTTCAACCTCTCTTATACTTTGCTGCTCATGCTGTGTGGACTTTCAGCATTTTAACCTAATGACTATAGAATGTTAGTATTAGAGATCATGGCAGGATGGATGCAATGTGTAAATCAGTCACTGATGCTGCTATGTCTTATTTTCCTGGGAATGGCTCCCACTGCAAACAGCATATACCCAAGGATACGGCTCTCCCACAAAGGTAAATATACACATTCTGTGTCTGTTTATCTTTCCTTTTTTTAATCACCTGAAGTATCAAAAAAAAAAAAAAATACATAGTACATAACATGTATGCTGTCAAAAATTAAGAAAAAAAAAGTGAAATTTTGAGAATATATTTTTTATTGTAGTTCCCTCAGAGTGCAAACGGAGAATAGGGTGGGTGCAACATAACATAGTTTTACAAAAGGCTGCTGTTACTAGTTTTAACTAGTTCCTGATATTAAATTAGGATGATAAATAAAGTTGTGTTTTTGCAAAACATTTTTCTAAATTATTTCTAGATCAGAATTAGTATTTATACGTTTTCTGATGTGGACCAAATGGTTTTCCAACCTGGAAGCCCTTCAGTTGGGGGATAAACAGACACTTCAAAAAAATTATTTCAGATGTTAGTTGCACCTTAAAAGAAGTTTCTGTTTATTGTTGACATGACAACTTTATATAGACTAGATGGCCCAGCTGTGCTGTGCAACGTAATTTCTATGAGGTTGCACTTTGCAGCTCTATAGTACCTGTAAGCCAATAGCAGTTTTTCATTAGGATTATATGGCTCTCCACCAAGAGTGCACTTCAGAAAAGGGTAGCTAAAACACTTAAGGAAAAGAAATACATTTAATTATCAGTTGTAACGCTAATAGCTAGGTACAATGCTGCTTGTAAAAGACTCAGAAAATTGATGTCTGATGTGTAGATGTCTGCTGTGCAAATTTGGCAGCTAACAGATTTCAACTCTACTTTTCTAATAAATAAGTATATATATATATATATATATATATATATATATATATATATATATATATATATATATATATATATATATGCTTCAGGAGCATCCTTCATTTGTTTTGGTCTCTCTGCTATGGTGGCTGACAAACCATAATGTGGCTTTCTCTCGTGCTATACTGGTACAGGAATGGTTATGGAATGTATTTCTTTTTTTTATGGGAGTGTTTCTGAGAGTAGGAGACAAGTGTCTATGCAATTGTGGGTGTTTATTTGTGCATGGGGTGGCTGATTTGGATGTGCATGTGCTGGTATGCAGACAGATTGCTGTGTATCTCTTTGACAATAATGAGGGTTTTTATCTGAAGATAAAATATCTTGAGTAAACACTGCATTTTTTTATTTTTTTTATGTTTCCTTTGAACTCTATAGCAACAAGAGGCAATAATTCCACATAAGCCAGTTAGTCATGGTTGGAAATAGGTGTGGAATTTGGATGGTCTCTAACTAATACATGTGCACTCAAAGAATTTAATGAGAGTTGACAAGTCTTGTCCATCAATAGGTAGTCATTCTGAACATTTCATACGTTGCAGTACTTATTTCTTTCAGTTTCAGTTGTAAACATAACAAAGGTATCCAATAAAGCAAAAACAAAAAAAGGTTTTCTCTTCAGACATACAGCTAACAAAACAACATAATGTATAAATAACTGCCTACATGCTTAGTCAGTAATGCCACATACGTTTTAGGTGAGGTCGTAATTTTCATACATCATCCTTTTTTTCTCTATACCTAAGGGTAGAGCTATCATAATGACTGACATCCCTGCCCAACCTGTGTCATGACTCTTTGATGCATGTTCTGGCAAGTACAGAGCACCAGGAAACAGGCTGCAGTTGGATCCTATCATTATGGAATGATAAACATTCCTAATACATGCCTCATGGGCTCTAACACTTATATTTGCACACAACCGTCGATTCAAACAAACTCAAACAGACAACATCATAGGCAGTATTGTGTGAATTCTTTAAAGATGTTGGACATGGATGAAGCTCAGTTCAGAAGCATAAGGATGAGGTTCTATTGACTGATGGATGGATGCAAGACTGATGCCACAAAATCTGGCAACAAGAGCGATGAGAAAAAAAAATATTATCTTTGAGGGAAAGTTTTGTTAATTTTATCTTTGCTGACATACCTGCTTCTCATCAGGAGGGCTAACAATAGACGGATCAGTAGAGACGTGAATAAAATAAGAGAACAGCAAGTTTAGAGTTTCTGAAGTGGCATCACTATGCACATTTGACTGTTTTTATGTGTTCCACACTTTGCAGATGTTATAATGTTAATACATTTTTTTCTTATTTCTTTTTCATCTGTTCTCCATTTTGTGTTTAGCCCACTGGACCAGTGAATATCATGTCATGTGCATTTTAAATCACCTTCATCCTAGCCACATCTTTATTTGCATACACTCTCCGTTAACTTAAGGCTTTTACCTTACACAGGGTATTGAGTTAACAGTTCTGAAACCGCACAGTCTTTACAAATATTTGACCTTTAACGTTGACTGCAGAAAATCTAAAAACTTTAAACACAAACCTATAACATTCAAGCAGCCTGAGTGCTTGGATATTTAGTCCGTCAGACTTGCCAAATAATGGATTGTTATACTTTGAAAAGCCCTGCAGGGAGATACACTCAGTCCAGCAGAGATAAAAAGACACTCTTTGCTTTGTAATATTTTTGTGCCTTTGGACACAGATCCATATGATTTGAATTCGCATCATTCAAGTTTCTTGGCAGCTTATTGGAGATCGCCTTGATACCAGAAACAAGATCTTGTTTTAGAACAGCCATCAATATTGCTGCCACTAAAGCTATTGCACAGCTAAGCATGTGTATGAGCGTCAGTAGGCTGTAGCTTAGTGTCCAGGCTTGCATTTAATTTACTGACTCCGCAGTCTTACCACAACGCCTAGCTAAATCTACTTAGTATGATACAGCAGTTTCAATAATTTGTAAGTTGTAAACCAGGAATAAAAAAAAAACTATTTTATAGATTAATATGGGGAGAATTTCACCTTAAAAAGGGCCTTATACTTCAAAAAGAAAATCTTTTTGGCATATCATTTATTTTAAAATTTAGGTATGGTACAAGGGTTTTCATTCTGTTCATGTCGACTGGATGTTTTAAACCAGAATTGAGAATTGATTTTAAGTGATTATTAACAAAAAAATAAATAAATATATAAACAAATTTGGGTTCATGACTGCAGCGACATTTATCTACTTGTACCAACGGGAAGTTGCTTAGAGCTATTTCAGTGTGGTCTTTTTGATATCTTAAAAGGTGCTAAAATCTTAGATAAAAAATATAACAGTATGTGAATTCTTTATCCAAATGCTTAACAGATATGTAGACAAAATTTGCTAATGTAGTTTTGAAGCTGTGCTGTTTTAAACTGAGTGGTAGGTGGCCCTTTTTATGTTTTAATTATTTGTCTGTTGCAACTTCTTGTATTAGAGAAACTTGGGAAATTTCTTTAATTTTATTTAATCAGGGATGCATTGCAACAGGCTTGGTAATGCATTAATCTGTGCTTCATACAGCGAGGGAAACTTAGGCAACTCTGTGACAGGGTTTCTTTGGTATCCCACTGATAAAACGTGATGTCAAACCTTTAGAGTAAACTTTTACACAGCTAATTAAAAAAGTTACCAGCTCATGCCTTGTGACAGGACATATAAAGTCAGGTTTTTCAGCCCAATTACCCAAAAGTTAACAGAACCAAAACTGATGGATGTATTTTAAAGTTTTAGAAAATATTTTACCTGAATGAGATAATAATTCATACTTAAGATTTTTTTTAACGACAGCAGTTGATTTCATGATTATCTATAATGTTGAACTGATGAAAAATATATATACTTATTTACAATTGACTTTTAAATGTTTTTTTACTGATATGAAAAATGTTAACTCTTATAAAATGTCAGTATTTTGGTATGCAGTGAGGGTTCTTATTGGAAAAGGGATTTATTGACTCAGAGCTACTTTAAATGATTTGGCTAATTTTTTTTTATGAATGTTGAGAATTACTTTTCATATGATAGTAATACTATTTTGCAATGTCCTCCAAAAAAATATCCCAATGAAAAACAGATTGAAAAATGTGGAAACCTCGGTTTTTTTATTTTGGAATGCGGGTAAGTTAACTGTTTAAAGGCTGCATTTTAAAACTAACATCATTGTTTTAAAAGTAAAAATCATATACAAATGCTCTTTCTCTTTTGCCATTTTTTTCTCCATGTTATATCTAAACATTAGGTTTCCACAAGCGATAATGTTAAAGGGTAGTGTAACTTCATATTTACATGTCCTTTTAAAAACAATAAACAATAGTGCAGATACAAAATTTATTTGGAGCATGTTCTTTGAAAATGCTAAAGCAGTAGTTCAGTGTTCATTTTTCTCAGCACTTTTAGTAAAACTAGGTTAGACAAAAAGACTCTAAGGTACATAAACACAGGGATTACTCAGGTGGCAATTACGGATGTATTCAAGCCTCCCTTTGAACTGTAATTTTAGACCTCCATCTCCTAAGAAGAAAACACTTTCAGTATATATCTTTTACAGCCTCTGAACCAGGGAGCTTTGGGTAATTTGGGAAAAACCAGAGTGCATGAAGTAAAGTGAGGGCAGGAATTTCTGTTGCTCATTTCTTCTAATCTGGTAGGTGAGGAGTCTAATTTTCTGATTTTTTAATTAAACAAGTCTAAATTGGAGGGTAGACCAATATTTAGGTAAATATTTTCTATTAAATTAGAGGGATTAAAGGCAATCATTTTTTAAAATCCTCTCTTGTCTATCTAGCTCATCTTTTAGTTCTGCTTATTTTGTGTATGCCTCAGCATCACTATTCCTACTATTTAATGTGTGTGCTCTACTGCTCCTTAATGAGATGTCCAGAGGGGAAGGCAGCTGCTGAATGTCTAATATCTGTTTTGACCTTTTTCCTGGTGTAGGGGAGAGGGAGAGAAATTGAGTTTTTCAGAGGAAAGATGAGTTGAAGGGTAGGTTTAAGCCTTCAAAGAAAAACGCTGAAGGATAAAAAATATGAATTTTAAAAGAAAATGAAAAGGTATAAAGGAAAATCAGGCAAGAGCTGTTCATTATTTGATGGATGGATGGATGGATGGATGGATGGATGGATGGATGGATGGATGGATGGATGGATGGATGGA